TTCTGTTCAAAGACAAACTATAACTAGACTCTTAGATTTTTGTTAAAAACAGTGTGAAACAAAGTACAGTTTGTTTCTATAGGTCTTGAATCCATGCTGGATACGTTTACGGAATCACAGTCCAACAGAAACACATTGCTACTCACTGGGAAATAATATTTAATGTCAAAAAAAAAAAAGAAAGTTAGATAGATAGATAATCAGTCATGGAGAGAATGGGGAAGAAAAGAAAAATAAACAAAAAGATGAGTCAGGGCCAGGCACAGTGGCTCATGCACGTAATCCCAGCACTTTGGGAGGCTGAGATGAGAGGATAACTTGAACCCAGGAATTCTCTAAAACTGATGTTGTCAACATCAAACGTTAAACATTAATGTTAAACGACATGAAGACTAAGGCTACACATCTTATCTGGCTATGTTTGAAATGGATTTATTATCATCTCAGTCAATTTGAAAGCAGTCTAAACTGATCATGCCTGTTAAAATGTCTTATTTAGGGAAATTTACTGCAAATAATTCACACACTCTAATTCTATACCTCAATAATTTCTTAACGTGATAGACTCCTAATCCCAGAAGATAATTTAAGTTAAATAACTAGAGGCCAGGTGCAGTAGCTCACGCCTATAATAACAGCACTTTGGAATCTGATGTGGGCAGATTGCTTGAGCTCAAGAGACCAGACCGGGCAACATGGCAAAACCTTGTCTCTTCAGAATATATAAAAAGTAGCCGGGTATGGTGGTGCACACCTGTAGTCCCAGCTACTTGGGAGGCTGAAGTGGGAGGATCGCTTATGCCCAGGAAGCAGAGGTTGCCAGTGATCTGAGATCACACCACTGCACTCCAGTCTGTGAAACAGAGTGAGACCCTGTCTCAAAAAAAAAAGTAACTGTTTATTGTAAAAAGTTCAGGTATAAATGAACCAGAAATTAGCTCTATAATTTGATATAAATAAAGCTACAGCAATAACATCACCAAAGAAAGAACCTAGCATGAAAATATTAACTAAATGGTTAGGTTTCAAAGACACTTTGAATTGTGGATATCTTAACTCAAAGAATCCCAATAATACATTAAATTCCTTGGATCCTCACTGAAAGTGAGAAACTCATTTCTAAGCATATGTGCACAAGTACCTTAGCCTCTTCATGCCTGCTTGCCTGTCCCACAGTCAGAGAAGGCAGGATATTTGGTTAGGCATATGTTTACAAGTACAGATAGAAAAATTCCAACTTTAAAACCAAATATTTTCCTTGTTTAATTCTGGTATCTTATTGGTCCATATGCTGCCTCCTCCTCACAGTATGGTATCCAAATCTCCTAGATTGTGACTTTCTTTTAAAGCATAATGGTAACATCAAGCAGACAGAATTGAAGAGTGGAAATATTATATGAGAAAGCAGAGCAAAACAGATGATGCTCTAAATGCATACTGATGCACTTGCTGAAGACATTAGGTGCTCCATAAATGCTTGCTGAAATGCTGTTTGTCAACACTTGTTGTGAAAAATTCATCTCTTTCTCTAATTTAAGAATCCTCATAAGTTAACCACAATCAGTTCTACATAATTTAATGGAAAACACCTGGTGGCATCTGGTGGCACTTTTAATAAGGATAGCATTTCACAAACTATGCCTGCCCCTAGCCCCACTGCAGCAGGAGAAAATGAGGCTAAGGAGAAAAGCAAGATGATTATCAGGAGAGCCCTAAATATGTATATCATTTGTTTATCCGTATCTGGTCTATATTCTCAGATTTTCTAAAGAATGCCCCATCCTTCTTTTTTCTTCATTTTAGCTTAAGCTAGCTGGATTTTAGTTTCTGTAATTTGCAAACAAATACTAGTATGGAGTGCCTGTTCAGTGCAAAAGAAAATAGTATCTCTGCCTCCACAATGTCCATATGTATAACAGAATCGTACCAATGTCCTTTTATGGTAATTGACAAGGTGACCATGATAATGAGGAAAAGAAACAAGTTTTAAAAATAACCACAATCCCTCTTAGAGACAATATAAATTAAAAAGATTTTGAGAAGTTATTCAGTAAAGAAATTTCTTTAACTCAGTCGAACTCACATTTATAAATCATATTTGAGCATGGAATCTTTTTAAATGAACTTCTTATGTCTTTGAGAACTAACTAGTAGAGCACAGTCTGAGAAATGCTAGTTGGACACATGACCAGGATTCCTTAGATCTAGCATATGAAGAAAAATGGTAACAACCATTCCTATCTGCTTCCTCATATACTAAAAATTTTAAATATAAAGGAGATCACAGAACTCAATTTTGAATGTAAAAGTAACATTCTAGATTGAGAAACTTACCTGCATTGAAATAAGAATGAAATCAATCAGGCTCCCAATTCCACAAAATCCAACAGTGCAAAACTTTAACAAACCTAGAAAAGAAGGTAAAGTCATTTATACGCTGGAAAGTCTTCTAAATATTAACAAACTGTTCCATTTTCCAATAAACCATTATATATATCACAAACTTTTTATATCAAGAACATAAAAGTTACAATTTAAAAAATCAAATCTTCACCTGAAAATGAGAAAAGTTTAAAGGAACCCTCTACATAGAAATGCCAAAAAATAATTTATTAATTCTCTTAAGAAATAAATATTAGTAACTGAAAAAAAAAACCTCAATATAATCTAACAAAATTTCTAAGAGAAAAGGCCTAAGGAAGTAATCTTTAAATCTCAACACACCAGAGTTACAAAACATCTTTTAGTCCTAAAATCCTTAATTACTTATTTAGACTTTATATGTTATATGACCCAAAATTTACTATACATTTGGAGAGTTCAAATATATAAATTGTCATGCCAAAAAAATATTCAGGAAAAAACACTGATCTTGTTCCAAAATTGCAAAATTTTATTACCAATCCAATTATCTTTAATTCATCCTATATATTTATTTTTCCTACATATCTCTTGTTTATTAGCTCTATAATCAAAATCAACAATTCTGTGCTGAGCACTATATACAGCTTTGTCCTTGGTCCCAACCCAAGAGCTAAGATGCTAAAACAGATGATAACAGAGTATCTAATATAGGACATCTACAACCGTATAACTCAAAAACATGATTGTAAGATGTAGATTGGGGGTGGGCTGGGGGTAGGCTGATTAATCTCTTATGACTTTAAACTTGAATTTCTTACAAGACATCTCCTATGAGATATAAAAATGGTATAAGACAAGACTCTTGGTGAAAATGTAGTTCCATATATCAACTACAAATAGATGCCAGCTAAAAATCCTAGGAGAGGATGAGATCGCCTCCCACAATCTGGGAATACACAAATAAGACTGAACTATGTAGAGACATTAGATGATTTTTTCCCCCCACGTATAGCAGAATAATGTTGTAAGTACAGAAATAATATATGGCAATAAATTAATAACTATTAAAATACAGAGATAATTAAAAATTTTGCTTTTAGTTTCCTCATTTATTACTTACCTAACATTTTATCTTTGATTACTATCTATCACACAGAAGCCCCATTAGGGCAGGGCCCTTTATCTGTTTTCTTTACTCCTGTATCCTTAGTGCCAACAACATTGCCTGGCATATGGTAAATGCTCAATATTTGCTAAATAAATTGATAAATCTTCTCATATTTCTGTTTCCCAAACACTCCCATCATTTCATCCATTACCCCTTAGTTTTTTTCATTAGCTGCATAGTACTATAGCAGCCCAAGGAAAATTGTCTGCTAACATTTTATCCACTCATGGCTCATGCCTATAATCACAGCACTTTGGGAGGCCAAGGCAGGTGGATCACCTGAGGTCAGGAGTTCGAGACCAGCCTGGCCAACCTGGTGAAACCCCGTCTCTACTAAAACTACAAAAATTAGCTAGGCATGGTGGTGGGTGCCTGTAACCCAGTTACTCCGGAGGGTGAGGCAGCAGAATTACTTGAACCCAGGAGGTGGAGGTTGCAGTAAGCCGAGATTGTACCACTGCATTCCAACCTGGGTGACAAATGGAGGCTTTGTCTCAAAAAAAAAAAAAAAAGAGAGAGAGAGAGAGACAGAATATTAAGTATGATCCCTCTAGAGTTCTATTTTTAACTGCTAGTTCATGAAGAATAGGTAATCACATCAGGGCCTTTGCTTTTTTTGTGCCATTTTCCAAGGATGTTCTTCCTTTAGACCACTTCTTCAGAGAAGTCTTCCCTAACCCGCCTGTCCAAAGCAGCATGTCACCACATTCCCACCCCATAACCCCTTACGCCCGGCTAGTTTTTAAATTTTTTGTAGAGACAGGATCTCACTATGCTGCCCAGGCTGGTCTTGAACTCCTGGGACCAAGTGATTCTCCTGCCTTGGCCTCCCAAAATGCTTGGATTACAGGCTATCATACCTGACCTGAATTTCTTTTTTCTTTTTATTTGTTTTTCTCAGACCTCTCAGGGATGAGTAAAGTTTTTGATTATAACTGTAGTAGGCGAAACAGTGACAACAGTAGTAGCTGGACTAACATTTAGTAAATGTATCTTATCTCATTTAGTTCTGATTGCCATTCCTATCTTTGTTCATAAAGTATTTTTATATTTGAAAATTTAAAACAAGTTTAAGGTGGTGTTACTGGAAACCTCATTACTAAAATCATCTTTTGCCTTAAATTTGTAGAAACAGATGGACCACAGAATAGGTAACATTATACATGTGGAGTAAGATATGCTCTAAGTCACTATAATGATTAAACCTTCAAGTTTTTTTTAATAGTCAACTGGTAAGTCTAAATGTGTTACTCCAGGATTTTCCTTCTTTTCTTTCCATCCTTCTTTTCCTCTTTCTTTTTCTTTCTCCTTCTTTCTTCCTTCCCTTCCTTCTTTCCTTTGCAGGGGTCTCACTATTTCCAAGGGTCTCACTGTGTTGCCTAGGTTGATCTTGAACTTCTAGCCTCAAGTGATCCCCCTGCCTCCCAAAATGTTGAAATTATAGGTGTGAGTCACCAAACCCAGCCTCTTGATTTTTTAAAACAGCTTTATTGTGCTACAAATGACATACATTAAAACGACATACAATGACATATGACATACATTGTACATATTTAAAATGCACAATTTGATAAATTTGACACTTGTATAAAACCTGTGAATCAATCACTATAATAAAAAAAGACCATTTCTGTCACCCCCAAAAGTTTCCTCATGCCCCTTTGTAATTTGTTTATTGTCTCTCCTTGCCCCGTCTTTCCCCAGCAAGCACTTATCTGCTTTCTGTCACTATAAATTAGTTTGTCAGTTCCCTAAACTTTTAAATATCATCTCTGATCTGTTCTCTTAGTTTCCTTAAACGTATTACTTCAGGAGTAGGTAGTATTTACCAGAGTTCCAAATACAGATATTACTCCCTTATCTAATATTTTATCTCAGCAGAAACTTCTCATGTTCATTTTTGTGAAGCATCCTTAAGAATGGGTTCTGTAGCATAACATCTAGATTTTCTTGAATTTATCATCTTACTCTGTTATGGGTATTATTACATTACTTTGCCAATAAACATACTTCTATATCATCGTTTTAAATGGCTGCATAGTATTCTATTGTGTTACACACTGTCTCTTAATTTTTTGAGACAGTTCCTCCCTATTGAACATTTAGCTTATTTCTAGTTTTTCTGATATTTATATGACAAATATTTATCACTGTATTACTGTCTGTCAAGTTCTGTTCAGGATACCAACTTGCATACAGATAAGGCCTCTGCCTTTAAGAATGTGCATTCCAGGCCAAGCGCAGGTGGCTCACACCTGTAATCCTAACACTTTAGGAGCCCAAGGCAGGTGGATTACCTGAGGCTGGGAGTTTGAGACCAACCTGTCCAACATGGAGAAACCCTGTATCTACTAAAAATATAAAATTAGCCAGGTATGGTGGTGCATGCCTGTAATCCCAGCTACTCAGGAGGCTGAGGCAGGAGAATCACTTGAACCCAGGAGGCAGAGGTTGTGGTAAGCCAAGATCACGCCACGCCACTGTGCTCCAGCCTGGGCAACAAGAGCAAAACTCCGCCTCAAAAAAAAAAAAAAATGTACATTCCAAAGGAAGACAGACAGTGAATAAATAAACAAACCCCTGAGGCTAACAGATTTATAATTAGCACTATGAAGAAAGAAAAGCTATATATAAATAGGACTACTGCTTTTCATAACTATAAAGAAAGATTAAATAAGATTAGTTTTAAAACAGGATTTTTTTTTTCTTTTTTCTTAACGGGATCTCACTATGTTACTATGTTATCTCTGCTGGCCTCGAACTCCTGGCCTCACGCAGACCCCCCACCTCAGCCTCTTGAGCAGCTGAGTCTATGGGCATACATCACTGCACCCAGCAAAAAATGAGATTTTAGATTTTGTCTATAACTACTTTCATTCCAGTCAACATTGTATTATGTAGTTAAGAATTTTTTTTTTAAGGCAGCAATCATTTAAAACAAAAAGGCCTAAATTCCTTAACCTTGGATTCTTAATAAAAACTAAACTGTATTTAAAATATTTAAAAATTTTAAATTGGACAGGCACTGTGGCTCATCCTGTAATCCCAGCACTTTGGGAGGCTGAGGTGGGAGGACAGCTTGAGTCCAGGAGTTCGAGACCAGCCTGTGTAACACAGAGAAATCCCATCTCTACAAAAAATACAAAAATAAGCCAGGCATAGGGGTGCATGCCTGCAGTCCCAGCTACTTGGGGCAGGACTGAGGACAGAGCATACCTTGAGCCCAGGAGGTCAAGGTTGCAGTGAGCCATGATCATACCACTTCACTGCAGCCTGGGCAAGAGAGTGAGACCCTGTCACAAAAGAAGAAAAGAAAAAAGAAAGGAAAAGAAGTTATTGCTTCTGATACCGAAAACAGTTAACTTCTGATATCTAAAGGGACCCAACTCCATAGCAAGATACTGAAAGCATTTTATACTCATAGACTACATCTCTAGGCAGTGTCACCTGCTGCATTGTTCTTCCTACACTATCGGCGAAATTATCCCCCAGTCTCTCAATGCACACCTGTGCTCTTTCATACCCGTTACACATGCTGTTCTCTGCAATGCCTTAAACCTCTGTAATCTCTTCATCCTTCAAAACCTAGCTCAAAGGTCACTACATCTAAGAACTTCCTTCAGTCAACTGCATCAGTCCCTTTTCTATACTCTGACAGCACTGTGTTATGGTTCTGTTACAGTGCTGCATCATAAATTGGCCTACTAATATACTTATTTTATTTTTAACACTGTGACCGTCCTTATTTCCCTGTCACTTAGTTTTTAAATGTTGAATATATGCTTAATTAAATAAACAAGTATATATAGTACTTTATAAGCTTTATTTATGGACTTATAACACTGAGTTTTAGTACAGCTGTCAGAAATACACCTACCACCAACCCCACAGTAAACACTTCTCTTTGATCTTTTGTGGGTAGCAACATGGAAGAAATAACGTTAGCTTTGTGAGCTAGAAGGCAGAGCATACAAAAACTTTAAATTTGCTCAGTGAAGGGCTAATATAGAAGCAGAGTAGTACAGTAAATAAAACATGATCTCCAGAACCAGAAGATTTTGGTTCAAATTGAGGTCACTAGCTGAGTGTCCTTGGGTAAATCTCTTAATCTAGTGACAATTTTCCTAACTATAAAACAAGATGATAACAACAAATATGTCACAGAATAAAGAAAAGACTCTAGACTCAGTAAATCCCTTAACCTCTCTGGTGACAGTTTCCCTACCTGGTAAAGTGGATTTAAAGAGGATGATAAACTTAGAGGGTTGTAAGGCTCCAATAAGGGCAGGCATGTGAAAGTACTGTTTAAACAAAAGCTATGGTAAAATGTAAATTGTTTTTATAAGCATTAGTAACTATGGTAAATGTGATTACAGAAGGAGGATATAGAGAGGGAGGCTAAGGGCAACAGAAGTCAGGCTCCCACCCCAGCTCAAGTTGGAACCAAAGTTCCAACCCCAACTTGTTCTGAAAGAAGTGCATTGTTTCTAATCCCAGGGCAATGGTGAAAGAGATTTGGGTAGAAGGAAATATTTTTTGTAGGGGTAGAGGATATACATTTATTCATAAAACATTTACTAAGCATCCAGTGTCTGGTCAGCACCAGCAGTGACAGTTCCAGTGTACTATCTTAAGTAATTGCCTACACTATCTTGTGTGTGTTTTCATAAAGGTGAAAACATAGGAAAAGTCAATATTTCTTACCTAACCTGAACTGCTGGGCTAATTGATAGCTCTATAGTCACTGAAGAATGTTAACTACAACTCCAATTACATCGTACTTATAATATGCAAAGATTTAATCTGTAAGAACACATACAATGAACTAGAATGTAGATTTCATGGCTGGGCGTGGTGGCTCACGCCTGTAATCCAAGCACTTTGGAGGCCAAGGCGGGCAGATCACCTGAGGTCGGGAGTTCAAGACCAGCCTGACCAACATGGTTGAAACCCCATCTTTAAAAAAAAAAGAATGTAGGTTTCATAAGGATTTCTTTTTAATGAAACATACTCACCCAAGGCAGGGTATCCAAGGTAAAATCGATCTGCTCCCAACCATCCAAGAAAAAGAGACAATGCAACTGCCACTTTGTATGAATAGCCGTTTCTGCAAAAAATTAAAACCTGAGTGTCGTATTCATATATTTCCAATGTGAACATTTTAGAAAACAAAATTATTAACTACTATTTATTTATTAATTGGTTCATTCATTCATTCAATTAATGTTTTTTGGATGCCTACTGTGTGTCAGGCACTATTCTAGGGTACTGGAATATATTAATGAATAAAAGCAACAAAGATCCCTATCCCCATGGAGCTTACACTCTAGTGATAAGCAATAAACACAAACAGATTTAAAAAGTAAATCATATACCTTGTTAGAAAGTCATAAATATTATGAAAAAAAGCACAGCAGGCTGTGTAGAATGCCAGGAGCCATTTAAACTGGGTGGTAAGAGTTGGCCTCAGTGATATTTAAGCAGAGATCTGAGGAAAATGAGTGAGATGGCCATGACAGGCTTCTGATTGTGTCACAGGCAAAAGAAACAGCTTGGTGCAAAGGCAGCATACCTAAAATGTTTGAGACCAGTGTAGCAGGAGAGTGAGAGAAAGAAAAGAACATGAGCAGATGAGGTCAGAGAAATAATGGAGGGTGGAGGAAGCAGATCACACGGTGCTTTGTATATTACTGTAAATACTCTTTTATTCTAAGGAAAATGGGGAGCTACTCAAGGATCTTAAGTAAAGGTGTGACATAATCTGATTCAGATTTTTAAAATATCACTCTGGCTGCTGTGCTGAAAAGAAACTGTAGGGAGTATTTGTCAACTATTGCCACAATTAAGTTGTATAACAAACTACCCCAAAACTCAGTGGCTTTCAATAAGGTACTATTCTCACACTTACAGACTACAGATTGTCTGTGGTCCAATGGACCTAGGCTGGTTCAGCTAGAAGATTCTGTTTCAGGCTGAGGTTTGGCTGAGCTTGGATCAGGGCTGTTAATTCAGTTCAAGTCAGTTCTACTTAAATTTTCCTAGAGACTAAGCTTAAGATGTAGCAGCTAGTTGAGGCAACATAGCAGATAGTTTCAGGACATATCATCTAGTATGAAAGGAAAGCTAAGGCTGGGTGTGGTGGCTGACGCCTGTAATCCCAGCACTTTGGGAGGCCAAGGTGGGCAGGACACCTGAAGTCGGGAATTCGAGACCAGCCTGACCAACATGGAGAAACCTGTCTGTACTAAAAAAAATACAAAAATTAGCCGGACGTGGATGCGCATGCCTGTAATTCCAGCTACTTGGGAGGCTGAGGCAGGAGAATCGCTTGAACCTGGGAGGCAGAGGTTGCAGTGAGCCGAGATCGCGCCATTGCACTCCAGCCTGGGCAACAGGAGCGAAACACCAACTCAAAAAAAAAAAGAAAAGGGAGAGAAGAAACAAGGGCATAAGCATCGGATCACCATGCCTTTCTTGGATGTGCAGAAAAGGCTTTCAGCCTTAACCAAGATCGGTGATGGACAATCCAAAGTGCTGAACAGCCCTACAAGTTTCCGGCTCGACGCCATGCTTTTGAAAAAGAATGGATAGAATGTACACATGGAATCGGTACTATCTGGGCAGAGAAAGAGAGTAAGATAGAATATGATGATTTCATAGAGTGTATGTATACTTTGGTATAAAACGATGAAACGTATGAATATCATCTGTAAGCAACGAGATAAACTGATAAAGGAAGTGAAGTACACCCCCTCCACCTCACCACATAGGCAAGGGGAGCCTCGGCCCTGAGCAGACACAGCTACTGACATCTGGAGGCTGATTTTCATGTTCTCTGTCCTCCACTAGAAAGGTTGTTTATGGAAAACCTCCTTGTCAAAGTGTGTAAAAATAAAGTATTGCACCATCCTAAAAAAAAAAAAAGTAAGCTATATCCCACAAACACATCTGCTTGTTTTGCACCTGCTAATATTTTACAGGCCAAATTAAGTCACACAATCACGCCCAAAAAACCAATGGAGTGCGAAGTATAGACTGCCCAATTGACAAGCACTGAAAGAGATGACTATTTGCTGAACAAATTCAAACTATCACGAGGAAAAAAGGGTTTGAAGGCTACTGCAATGATCCAAGTGAGAATTGACAGTGGCTTGACCCAGAGTAGTAACAAAGGAAATAATGAGAAGTGATCCGACTCTGGATATATTCTAAAGTACAGCCAACTGGATTTCTTGATGAGAGGCAGGAGAATCACTTGAGCCCAGGAGTTCAAGACAAGCCTGGGCAACATAGTAAGACCCCATCTCTATTATTTTTTTTTAAAAAAAAGGAAAATATTTAAAGTTATGAGGTTGCCATATGAGTACAGATAGAAAAAAAGAGAGATCCAAAGGCTTACCCAGAGGTACTCCAGTATTAAGAGACTAAGGAGAAGAGAAGAAATCAGAAAGAAGGAGCTGTTTCTAACAATAAACAAGAAAAACTAGAAGAGTATGGTATCCTGGAAGTCAAGAGAAGATAGTGTATTTAGGAGAAAAGAGTGGTTAACTGTGCCAAATCTGCCTCGTGGATCATATACCATGTCTGATAATTTACTAATAAATTTAACTAAGAGATCACTAGTGATCTTAGCCTGAGCAATTGTGGTGATACAGCGAGGGCATAAGACAGAAAAGAGTGAGCTTAAGAAACGATGGGAGAGCTGGGCACAGTAGCATGTTCCTATAGTCTCAGCTACTTGGGAGGCTGAGAGGGGAGAATTGCTTGAGGCAAGAGTTCAAGGTTGCAGTATGCTATGATAGTGTCTGCGAATGGCCACTGCAGTCCAGTTTCCTGGGCAGCATATCAAGATCCCTGTCTTTGAAAAATTTTTAATAAAAAATAATAATATATTAAAAATAAAAGTATGGAAGAAAAAGAATTTATTAGATAACTTTTTGGGTTTGAGACAGCATCTCACTCTGTTGCCCAAGCTGGAGTACAGTGGCAACTTGGCTCAGTGCAACCTCTGCCTCCCAGGTTCAAGTGATTCTCCTGCCTCAGCCTCCCCAGTGGCTGGACTACAGGCGTGCACCACCACACTCCATTAACGCTTGTATTTTTAATAGAGACAGGGTTTCACTATTTTGGAAAGCTGGTTTCAAACTCTTGACCTCAGGTGATCCACCCGCCTCGGCCTCCCAAGGAGACAGCCATAACTATCATTTTGAAGTCAAATTTCATCATGTAAGATCCCTGCTTATAATCCTGTTTTGGTTTTGTGTTTGTTTTTTTTTTCCCCTGTGTTGCCCTGCCTACTTGTAGGGAGTTAGGAAAAGCAGAGAAATAACTCAGAATCCAATGCAAAAACTCATGCTGTAATCTAATGGGCAATAACAGTGGGAGAAAGAAGCAAACAAATTTGGAAAATATTAACAAAGCAGAAGCAAATGGGCTACGTGTGGGGAATGGGAGAAAGGAGAAGTCAAAAGAAGACTCCAAGCCTGGCATGGTGGCTCATGTTGTAATTCCAGTACTTTGGGAGGCTTAGGCAGGCGGATCACATGAGGCCAGGAATTTGAGACCAGCCTGGCCAACATGGTGAAACCCCACCTCTACTAAAAATACAAAAATTAGCTGGGCATGGTGGTGCATGCTTGTAGTCCCAGCTATTTGGTAGGCTGAGGTATGAGAATCGCTTGAACCTAGGAAACGGAGGTTGCAGTGAGCCAAGATCATGCCACTGCACTACAGCTTGGTCTGTTACCCAGGCTGTAGTGCAGTGGTGCATTCTCAGCTCACTGCAACTTCTGCCTCCCAGGGTCAAGTGATTCTCCTGATTGGTCTCAAACTCCCGACCTCAGATGATCGACCCACGTCGGCCTCCCAAAGTGCTGGGATTATAGGCGTGAGCCACTGCACCTGGCAAGAAAGTATTTTAAGAAAGGAAATGGCCAGGCTGGGCATGGTGACTCACACCTGTAATCCCAGCACTTTAGGAGGCTGAGGTGGGAGGATCACTTGAGGCCATGAATTTGAGACAGACCAGCCTGGTCAACATAGTGACACCCTATCTCTATATTAAAGAGAGAGACAGAGAAAGAAAGAGAGAGAAAGAAGGGAAAAGCCAAATGCTGTAGAAAGATTAAGATATGGACTGTAAACATTCATTTGACATATCAACAAAGATTGCTGGTGAATCTCAGCACGGCCAAAAGCCATACCGGATTAGACAGAAAATCTTGTAACAGGTAAGTATTACCAAAACAACTTTCAAAAAGCTTGGCTGGGAAGGAAAATGAAATTTAAAAAACAATTATCTATTCAAGTAAATCACCCTAAAGAATTATCTGAAAACTGGTGCTACAATTTAGTTTTTAGTTTTAGTTATTCACCGAGCCATTTCTCTTTCTCTGTCGCCCAGGCTGGAGTGCAGTAGCACAATCTTGCCCTGGGTTCACTGCAACCTCTGCCTTCCAGGTTCAAGTAATTCTCATGCCTCAGCCTCCTGAGTAGCTGGGATTACAGGCGCACACCACTATGTCCAGCTAATTCTGGTATTTTTAGTAGAGATGGGGTTTCACCATATTGGCCAACTTGGTCTCGAACTCCTGACCTCAAATGAACTGCCCACCTCAGCCTCCCAAAGTGCTAGGATTACAGGTGTGAGCCATCACACCCAGCTCATTTCTCTTTTTGTTATGAATATACAGCTAAACTACATTTCCTAGCTCACCCTGCCATTAAGTGCAGCCATAACTGAGTTTTGCCCAGTGGAATGAGGATGGGAGTGTACGCCATTTCCAAGGTCTGGCTCATAAAATACTCCTACAAAGGTTTCCCTCTCCTCTTTCCCATCTGCTGGCTTAGTGGAAAGGACTCTAAAGACTGCAGAAAGCAAAGCCACAAGACAAAAGAAGCAAGGCCCATTCATGAGCAACTATGGCCCCACCAACACCACCCAGACCTACAAGTTAACCCAAATGAAACTATGATATGAGTAATACTAATATAGATGGTCAGTGTAAACAGGTGGGTAGCTTGATAATCAATCAGGCATGGTTAGCAGACTTCAGTTTCTGGAGAATACATTATAAAATATTTGCAATACTAAGATGAAGTTTTAATCAAATATTAAACTATTATATACAGTTTGAAAAAAACAATATGCTAACAGGAGTACAAAGAAGATATGAAACTGAAAAAGGGACACCTAATGAATAAGAATTTATCACTGAGTTTTGATTCAGTAGCTGACCAGCAGCTGGTCTTTTTGTAGGCAAGTACCTAATATTCCAATAAAGCAAAATTATTTATCAGGTTATCTTAGCTTTGTCATTCTTACCATTAAAATTATCCACCTGTCTAACTCTTATTGCTCTAATGAGCAATATTCATTCTTCTTCTTTTATTTGTTTGAGACTGGATCTGGTTCAGTCACCAAGGCTAGAGTGCAGTGGCCATGACTTTGACTCATTGCAACCTCTGTCTCCTGAGCTCAAGTAAGTGATCATCCCACCTCAGCCTCTTAAGTAGCTGGTACTACAGACACGCACCACCAGGTAAATCATGTATTTTTTGGTAGAGATGGGGTTTCGCCATATTGTCCAGCTGGTCTCAAATTCCTGAGCTCAAGCAATCTGCCTGCCTTGGCCTCCCAAAGTGCGGGAATTACAGGCATGAGCCACCACGCCGAGCCTCAAATTCTGTCTTGAAATTATAAACTTTATTGTAAGGAAGTAAGTTGGCCAGTAGTTTTGGAATATCTGGTTAACCTGATGGTTATATTTCTTACCATAATTGATATCAATATCTTATAAGAGCCAGGAGCCGTGGCTCATGCCTGTGATCCCAGCACTTTGGGAGCCAGAGGCGGCCTGATCACTTGAGCCCAGAAGTTTGAGACCAGCCTTGGCAACTTGGTGAAACTCCATCGCTACCAAAAATACAAAAATCAGCCAAGCTTTGGGGCATGTACCTGTAGTCCCGGCTACTTAGGAGGCTGAGATGAGAGGATGGCTTGAGCCTGGAAGTTGAGGCTGCAATGAGCCATGATTGTGCCAATGCACTCTGAGCCTGTGCTACAGAAGGAGACTGTCTCAAAAAAAAAAAAAAAAATACAAAACAAAATTATGAGCATGATTAGTGTAGCTCAGTTGTATGCAGCCTAATCCATTTTGAGACACTGAAAGAAAAATCAGCATTAACTTGGATATTAAGTAACAGACATTCTGGTGTTAGCATTACAGATAATTTATAAACATATAAGTTCCAATCTGAGTGGCTGGCTGTTTTCAACAGATGATTTTCTTTGTTGTACTATAATCTATGTTTTGGACCAGCATTTAATACCTTAGTTGTTTGGAATGTTTAATGTAGAAACATCTATAAATTTAAATATTAACTAAATTTAACTTACCTCTGTAATGGAAAAAAAATGAAACCATATTTAACTACATTGGAAACTATTCCTTTTTAACAATTTTTACTTTACTAATGTGAAATCTTGGAACCCAAGAAGATTAAGTGGTAGGCTTAGGATTATACAGCAAGATAGAATCAAAAGCCCCTTATTAACTCAATAAGGTAGGGTCAAAAGGAAAGAAAGAACGATAAGAGTTCTCACTAAGAATTCTAGCAACTTGTAGGAACAGTCTAATGGTGGTTTCTTTTTTTTCTTTTTCCTTTTTAAGGTTCAATTCACCTGTACAGTGGTTTATTTCTTGAAACAACCAAAACTAAGTGCCATCAAATCGAATGTAACAATAAATAGTTTTAGGCCGAAAATAAATATAATGCCAACAATTAAAAATATATAAAATTAAATCATGTTTTTAGTACAATGAAATATAAGAATAATAAGCTTTAGCAGAAATAGATATCAAACTGCAAAATTCTTTTTAAAAAATTTTCAATTTGAATGCTTTTAGAGACAGGGCCTCACTTTGTTACTGCAATCATAGCTCACCACAACCTCCAACTCCTGGGCTCAAGGAGTAATCTCCCACCCAGCCTCCCAGTGGCAAGGACCACAGGCAAGCACCACATCACTGGGCTAATTTTTGTATTTTTTGTAGAGACAGGGTTTCCCTACTTTGCACAGGCTGGTCCCCAACTCCTGGCCTCAAGTGATTCTCCTGCCTTGGCCTTCCAAAGTGCTGGGATTACAAGTGTAAGCCACTGCACTAGGCCTAAAAGTCCTTTAAAAAGAGAAATTCCTAAGAAAAGAAAGCCATCTGTCTTACTATTCCAAACTGATCATTTTTATTGTTGTTTTTATAAAAGACAGTGTCTTACTACATTGCTCAGGCTGAACTTCCGGGCTCCTCTGGCCTCGGCTTGCTGAGTAGCTAGGACTAAAGGCATGTATCATTGTGCCCAGCTAGCCAAACTGTTTAACATTACCATTCATCATTCACATTTATTACAAAGAATAAAACCAAGTTTAAAATGCCCTTTATGTGCAAATAATTAATTAGCATTTTTCTGATATAATAGGTACACATCACTATTTTGTACTCTAGAAAAATCCTCTATTTTGAAGACAATTTTTTCATAAGTCAATTAGTGGCATAAACTGACTGACCTGAATTAACATGGCATGAGGCTAATGATAGTCTTTATTTATCCCACATACTAACTACATGGGTCAATTTGATTGGTGAACTGCATTTATTCAAAAAAAATACACATTTGGCTGGGTGTAGTGGGTCATGCCTGTAAATCCCAGCACTTTGGGAGGCCGAGGTGGGAGGATCACGTGAGGCTAGGAGTTTGAGACCAGTCCTGGGCAACATAGGGAGACTTCGTCTCTACAAAATATTTAAAAATTAGCCAGGCATGGTGGCACAAACCTGTAGTCTGGCTACTTGGGGGGCTGAAGTGGAAGGGTTGCTTGAGCCTGGGAGGTTGAGGTTGAAGTGAGACATGATATGCCACTCCATTCCAACCTGGGTCACTGAGCAAGACCTTGTCTCAAAAAGGTCTGAGTTTGTATTTTTAGCTTATATCTACACTTAAAATAGAAGTTTTCTGACACAAGCAAAAAGATACAAGATACATTTTCAGGATATTCCCCATAAATTATCTCATCTCTTTACTCTATGTAATCGAGATACAATACAGGCAAGTAATCTGAAAATTTAAGTTTCAGTAATGTACTTACACATTTCGGCAAGATATGGGCTTGAAAAAACCAACTTCATTCCCAGTAAAATGTGTTTCATTGCCACTAGAATCCTTACAAGTTATGTTGGGTGCTGGAAAACACGAAACTGAAGGCAGAAAAAGTCAAGAAACTGTTATTTTTTTTTCTGTGAAACAGCATGTAATTGTTCTAGGACTAGCATATATGTTATAACAAACTACATCCCAAGATAATACAACACAAGATTTTAATTTTAGATAGGAAAAGTGACATTACATATGTACTTACACGCAAGATAAATATAAAATGGTATAGTAGTCTCTTAACACAAAAATACAAGAATTGCCACACTGGATTAGATTCATGGCTAATCTAATTCAATCTCCTGCCTCTGACAAAGGTAACAAGGGAAGAACTGCACAATGTTACTGACCTTTACTTCATCTCCAGAATTAAGAATGCCTCTCAAATTTTTGTTGGAATTCATTGGGCAATTTATCTATTATATTATTTTAACATAATCTGAGTTTGTATTTTTAGCTTATATCTACTATTATAGACAATTGCTGCCACAAATTATTTTCAGTGATTCTAAATGTATTTGTTTCTCGATTCCCTCTAGGGTTTGATATAGATTATTTCAGAACTTAAGCAATCTTGATCCTACCTCATAACCCAGATGACATAATAAGAGGAAGTAACACTTACAGACCCAGGCAAGCACTGCCTTCACAGCTTTATAGCCTCATAGTATAAAGAACAAGACCTTTGGAATGACAACAACCTAGCTGGACATTGCTCCTTTCAGAATTTTGGATTCTTTATAGGTAAAAACAGTACTAAAGGGCCGAGTGCAGTGGCTCATGCCTGTAATACCAGCACTTTGGGAGGCTGAGGTGGGCAGATTAGGAATTCAAGACCAGCCTGGGCAACATGGCAAAACTCCATCCTTACAAAAAATAAAATAATTGGTTGGGTGTGGTAGTGCTCACCTGTAATCAGAAGGCTGAGGCAGACCCAGGAGCTTGAGGCTGCAGTGAGCCATGATCATGCCACTGCACTCCAGCCTGGGCAACAGAGTGAGACCATTTCAAAAAAAAAAAAGGAAAATACAAAGAGATGTTGCAGAACTTAACAGACAATTGATATGTAGCTATGTGGTTACCTGCCTCGGCACAGGGATAAAATTTGACTTTCGCAAATGAATTAATATCACATATCTTAGATTATATCTCTTGAAAATCTTCCAACTTAGATCATGCTTTTGATTAGCTATATAGCAGACCACTCAAAACTGAGGTTAGCAAATGTCTGAAATGCTGATATAAATTCTATGTCACTGAAAGGAGATCAACATGGTTTTAGATCAGTAATTTTTTTTTTAAAGACATGGGAGTTTGCTATATTGGCCAGGCTGGAATTCCTGGCCTCAAGTGATCTTCCTGCCTTAGTCACTCAAAGTACTGGGATTACGTGTGAGGCACTGTGATGTCACTGGCCCTAAATCAGTAAAATCAGTAAACTGGGGGCATTTTTTGCCCCCCAGAGGATATTTGGCAAGGTCTGGAAACACTTTTGGTTGTCACTGGGGAGCTGCTAAGGGCATCTAGTGAGTAGAGACCAGGGATACTCAAAAACATCCTACAGTGCACAAGACAGCCTCCCCACAACAATGAATTACCCAGTACAAAACAGCAATAGCACTGAGGCTGAGAAACCCTGCTCTAGATCAGTAATCTTCAAAAACATTCTGCACACCTGCTATAAATTAAATTTTTACAAGCTATATATGCCCTCACACATTTAAACAGATATCTAAAAAAAAAAATTATTTTTTTGAGACAGAGTCTCGCTCTGTCACCAGGCTGAAGTGCAGTGCCTCATTGCAACCTCCGCCCCCCAGGTTCAAGTGATTCTACTGCCTCAGCCTCCTGGGTAGCTGGTACTATAGGTGTTCACCACCATGCCGGGCTAATTCTTGTATTTTTAGTAGAGACGGGATTTCACCCTGTTGGCCAGGATAATCTCGATCTCTTGACCTTGGGATCTGCCCACCTCAGTCTCCCAAAGTGCTAGGATTACAGGCATGAGCCACTTCACCAGGCCTAACATTTTTCATCATGAATTTAAATGGCTGCAAAAACATGTAATTTCCAGTTTGTTTCTTTATTTATTGAAACTGAGTCTCACTCTATCACATAGGCTGGACTGCATGGATGTAATCCTGCAACCTCCGTCTCCTAGGTTCAAGCAATTCTCATGCCTCAGCCTCTGCAGTAGCTGGGATTATAGGCACCTGCCACCATGCCCGACTAATTTTTGTATTTTTAGTAGAGAAGGGGTTTCACCATGTTGGCCAGGCTGGTTTCGAACTCCTGGCCTCAAGAAATTCACCCACCTCAGTCTCCCAAAATGCTGGGATTACAGGTGTGAGCCATTGTACCCGGCCTCCAGTATATTTAATACTGTCATTAAAATTAAAATGTTATAGCACTCTTTAAAGTGGAATCTAAAGAGTGCTATAACTATTTAAAAACACAGCAATTTGACAGTAGAGACGGGATTTCACCCTGTTGGCCAGGCATCATGATCCACTGGAGAACAGATATGAAAGAACTCTTCTCTAAAATTCAACAATTTTACATTAATTTTAGGAATGGGTACACATTTAAAAGCTGAGAATTGGCTGGGCGTGGTGGGTCACACCTGTAATCACAGCACTTTAGGAGGCTAAGGCAGGCAGATCATTTGAGGTCTTAGCCCGACCAACATGGTAAAACCCCATCTCTACTAAAAATATAAAAATCAGCAGGATGTGGTGGCACATACCTGTAATCCCAACTATTTGGGAGGCTGAGGCAGGAGAATCACTTGAACCTGGGAGGCAGAGATTGTAGTGAGCGGAGATCGTGCCACTCCACTACAGCCCAGTGACAGAGTGAGACTCCATTTCAAAAAAAAAGGTTGAGAATCTAGGCAGGGTGGGGTCTAGGCCGGGTGCAGGTGGCTCATGCCTGTAATCCCAGCACTTTGGGAGGCCCAAGCAGGCAGGCTGCTTGAGGCCAGGAGTTTAAGACCAGTCTGGCCAACATGGTGAAACTCATCTCTTCCAAAAATACAAAAAATTAGCAAGGCGTGGTGACGTGTGCCTGTGGTCCCAGCTACTCAGGAGACTGAGCCAGGAGAATTGCTTGAGCCTGGGAGACAGGGGCTGCAATAAGCCACAATTATGCCACTGCACTCCAGCCTGGGTAGCAGAGCGAGAACCCCATCTCAAAAGAAGAAAAAAAGGAGGAGTCTTCAAGAATATCTGTAAACACAGGTTTTTTCCCCCAAAAAGTAGCTTTAAATCATTTCATATCCTCAAGCCATTAAGTAGATTAAGTGTACGATTACAGTTCATTTTTCTCTAAAAGTATTTATTACCTTGCTCTTGCTCAGCCTGAAGCTGTCATTTTCTTGTCATACAGTCTTGTGAGATCTTTCTGCAGATTATCTAAAATCAGGTCTTAAAGAGACAGTTGCAATACAAAATACTAATTATGATTCCAGTTGCAGTTATTTTCCGATATACCTTGCCTAACAGAAATATACTGATTTTTTTTGAGATGACAGGTTTCTGCGCAAAACTTTTAAAAACCAAATATTTCTAGGTGAGTTGCAAAAATGCCTTGTAAAATATTAAAAACTAAAGAGCCCTAACCGGGCACAGTAGCTCATCCCAGCACTTTGGGAGGCCAAGGTAGGTGGATCACGAGGTCAGGAGTTTGAGACTCACCTGGCCAACACGGTGAAACTCCATCTCTACTAAAAATACAAAAATTGGCCGGGCACGGTGGCATGTGCTGTAATCCCAGCTAATAAGGAGGCTGAGGCAGGAGAATCATGAACTCAGGAGGCGGAGGTTGCAATGAGCTAAGATCATACCCTTGCATGCCAGCCTGGGTGACAAATCAAGACTCTGTCCCCCCCCCCAAAAAAACTCTGAAAAAGCCCTATCTTTTGTTTTATTTTTGAGGCAAGGTCCAACCGTCACCCAGGTTAGTGGCATGATTACAGTTCACTGCAGCCTCAACCTCCTGGGCTTAAGAGACCATCCCACCTCAGTCTCCCAAGTAGGTGTGTGCCACCAAGCCTGGCTAATTTTTGTATTTTTTGTAGAGGCAGGTTTTTGCCACAGTCTCGAACTCCTGGGCTCAAGCAATCCACCCACTTTGGCCTCCCAAAGCTGTGAGCCACCATGCCCAACCAACCACATCTATTTTTCAACTAGACAGCATAAATTGTCTAAAATCCCACATGTTGAGAGTTTTAGTTTCCAATATTCAATCATTTCAAATAGTTGCTTTGTATACAATATGAAAAAGATGAAAGAGAAAAAATCCCAACACTCCAGGATTAGATACTCAGGAAAGACACTATAGTAAAAAGAGGTATCACAGTGAAGGGATAACCACGAAGCAATGATTCAAGAATTTTGACATTCGTTTGAGCTACTTATTTCAAGGAATGAAATGTATACTTGATGAAAAAAAGATGCAATGTTGCTCCAAATATATAGACAGAAGACATGAGAAAATAATGAGAGAAACTCAGACTGATTTGTTTGAAATGACAGAGAACTCCAAAGAGCAGAACTTTAGAACTAGATAGATTTGGATTTAAGCCCTAACTCTGTCACTTAACTAGCATGTTCCTTCAGGAAAAATAAAACGCCTCTGAATCGTGTTTCCCATCTGTGACATGGGATATATCTTTTGTACTCCTGTTATATACATATAAAAAGCATACAGTCCAGGCACGGTGGCTCATGTCTATAATCCCAGTACTTTGGAAGGCCACGGCAGGTGATCACTTGATGCCAGGAATTCAAGACCAGCCTGGTCAACATGGTGAAACCCCATCTCTTCTAAAAATACAAAAATTAACCAGGCGTCATGACCCACACCTGTAGTCCCAGCTACTGGAGAGGCTGAGTCACAAGAATTGCTTGACCCTGAGAGGCAGTGGTTACAGTGAGCCCAGATAGCACCACTGAGCTCAAGTTGGGTGACAGAGTAAGACTGTCTCAAAAAAAAAAAAAAAAAGAAAGAAAGAAAAAGAAAAAGCACATGGTGTGTAAAGCAT